GACAATAAAAAAAGAAAAAAAAAAAAAAAAGTACTGAGCCAGCTAGTGGGGTGGTGGTTAAGACAGCTATATCCCATGTGGCTGACTGTGCAGTTGAAGTCCTGGACCAGTGGCTTGAAAACCATGCCAGCATGTGTGCATGCATGCCCAAAATTCTGAGAGGAGACGAGAAAAAGGGGTTAAATATGATCATCCCCCCGGGAGGTGCTTTCTCACTTTCCCTCCCTTCCTCTCTGGGGAGTATATCACCCTATAATAAAGTAAGAAAAAGAATTTCTTTAAGTGATCTCTCTAATTGTGAGTGAGTGTAAATCTTTTCCTAAAATGGGGAAAATTTTGAAATATTTATAAAATTTTATTTATTCATCTATTTTAATTTGACCACAGAGAGAATGAGAGAGATGGAAAGTGAGAAATCAACCCGCCAGGTCTGTAACTTGAACTGTGGTCAGCCACATGGGAGTGTTCAGTGCCTTAACCAACATGCCACCTCCTGGTCCCCTGAGTGTGAATTTTTATATGTTTAAATGTCCTTTCTGCGAACTGTCTTTTCCCCAGTTTTCTGTTGGGTTTTTAATCCTTTCTCCTCCAATTTCTTTTCTTTCCTTTTTTATTTATTTATTTTATTATTTTGCTATAGGGTGTGTGCACTTGTAGGACAGAAAGAGAGAGAGGGAGAGTGAGAAATCACTCCCTGGAAGGATGACCACACCACAATCCCTTCTCCTCCATTCTCCTCCTGGGATTTTGGGCACCTATGCACATGTGCCTCACGTGATTTTCAAGTCACCAGGTCCAGGACTCAAACTGTAGTCAACCATGCTAGAGTCCAGCATGTTAAACACTGTGCCACCTGCTGGCCCATGCTCACCTAAAGTGGCAACCTTTTCATGTGGAACTTACTAGCAAGGGGGCTGTGTTTTACCGCTGTGCCACTGTCTGGCCTCTTTACATTTAGATTTTTTACCTATTTGGAATTTATTGTTATGGTTGTTACCAAGTATGGATCTAGGGACCAGCAGGTGGAGTGGCAATTAAGTCACTGGACTCCTACATTGTTGACCACAGTTTCAGTCCTGGACCTAGCAGCTTTCTTTGGTCTCTCCCCCTCACCTCCCCCTCCCTCCTCTGCCTGACCTGTGCTTTCCTTTGCTGGATCTTCCCTCCCTCCTCCTGGTCCCAGCTCCTTACCCGCGGGAGACCCCTGCGGGTTGGTCCTGCAGCGGCCCTGAAAGGGGCCGAGCCTCAGGTCATGAGAACTGACCTGGCTGGAACCACCATTTTCCATCCCAGTCCCCAACCCGGTGAGGCGGGCCCACCCATCCGGCCCTAGGGGACCGACCACAGCTGTGGCTGGGCCAGGGCCAGGGACAAGGCCAAAGAAGGGAAATTCCCGAGGAGAAAAGGACTTCCTCGGGGTAGTGGACCGAGTGGGATGGGGGGCTCATAGTACCAGGGGGCGTGACGCTGCCAGGGCAGACCAGAGCCTGGGGAACCTGGGCACAGAGTGTCCCAGAGCTCACTTTGCAGGGAACAGAAGCGCTGCCTGGGAGCACTCCCGCTGCCGACAGAAGGGAGTACAAGCGGGCGCCCCCTGCAGCGGGTAGCGACCCCGGCGGCAGCAGCTCGGGGCACAGGAAGCAGGAGGGCTCTGTTAGGAAAAGCCCGCAGCAACTGTCCGCGGAACTTTCATTGCAGAAGTACTCTCTGAAGAACCATTGCAAGAGTGGGCACTGCCAGCGAGAGCGCCCACTGCAAGAGGGGCCACAGCCAAGGGGGCGCTCACTGCAGAAAGAGGAGGAGGGGAGAGGCCCTGCCCGGGGACGCTCACTGCGGGGAGTGGAGGAGGGGCCGGAGCACTTCTGGGGCCGCTCCTCTACGGAGGGAAGGGCACCCCCTGGCCGAAAGGCTGGAGCGAAAAGAAAAAGGAACTGGGCCAGGGAGAGCTGACTCAGTCTCTCTGGTCTCTCTGCTCCCAGCAGGCAGGAGGCCCGGTCTCTGCTCCCGGCCGCCGCCTCCCGACCCAGACCCCTCCTCCCCCTGCCGTTTCCTGTGGCTGAGACTCTCGCTCAGCCATGAGCTCACCGCCCCTAATGGGTTGCAGCTGCCTCGCTGCTCGAGCTCGAGCGCCCCACTCCCAGCCTTGGAGGAGACGGCCCCCTCCGCCTCGCCCCCGCCCGTCTCTACCTCCCACCCTTGCGCACAGCGCCCGCCAGTCCCGCGAACACTGGGGGTCTGTCTGCTCGCCCACACACCTTGGGGCCGAGCCTGCTCGCTGACGCACGGAATGTCGGTCTCTGGAACGGCTGCCCTAGCTTCCCAGATGACAACGGGCAACTTTGGCTGGAGGGCCTCGGAGTAAAATATGCCATTTTATCTTTGGGGCAAAGGCAGGGCAGAGGGTGGGGGAGGGGAGGGAACTAGGTAAACACTACTTTGGGCATCTCTTTCCTCATTCGCGGCCGGCAAATCTGGTCAAAGGAACTTCAAGAGGCATCTTGAAAGAGAAGTTTGCAGAGGAACAGCCCAAGGGCTGGTCAGTTCAGGGTGTGGGATGGAGAAAGTTGTCCTGTTGATTCACTGAGGGAACTGGGTCTGGATGAAGCAGGACTGAGTCTTCTGAAGCAGGGGCTCCAGGTGGCAGCTGGCCCAGAGGTCCCACTAGAATCAGAAAAGATTTCAACTGGAATTCATACCATCAAGATCTCTCTTCATCACATGTTCCTTTTGTGACTTTTTCAACTGCTCTCGCCCAGTTCTTTGTAACTCAAACCCACATGCTCTGGGAGTGGGGGCTTCCCAGTCTTTCCATCCTCCTCTTTCCACCCAATCACTGTCTCTAAGATACGATTGTGGGTGGCAGCACCTCTACTTAAGATGGAAGTCTGGGAGGGCCAGCAGGTGGCATAATGGTTAAGGTGCTGGACTCCCACATGGTCCATCTGGTTTTGAGTCCAGATCTGGCAACTTGAAATTTGCACCGGGTGCATGTGCATGTGCTCAAAATACTGAGAGGAGAATGGAGGAGAAGGGATTGCGGCATAGCTATCCCGTCAGGGGAATGGAGGTGATTTCTCACTTTCTGTGTCTCTCTCTGTTTCTCCAGCAAGTACATTATAGCAAAAATACCTTCCAAAACAGGACGGAGTCTCTGAATGGGGAGTCCTGTGAGAAGGGAGCTGCAGGATGGCTATGCGAAAGCCCTCCCCTCCAACCCTCCAGAGTTCTTAGCCATCAGTTCAGTGCCCTAAAAGCCCAGGGGCCTGTCTCTGCTCTCCTGAGGAGGGCCTGCGCAACCACCCTGATTCATAAGCACCAGGAACAGCCCTGATCTGTGGCTTTCACAACCCAGTTCTTCCTGGCTCTCCAAAGCCAAGGTCTCGGAGCCGGAGCATGGAGTGCCCTGCTAGGCCTGTGCACTCCTGCCCAGCCCTGCTCCCATCCTGGCTCATTTGGCCAGCGTTTCATGAATGCCCACTTTGTGCACACCACGTGTGATGGGGGCCCAGGGGTCACAGCCGCCCCAGGCAAGTACAGCCCCCAAGGAGCCATGCTTAGGCTTTCTCTAGGGGTCTATAGCCTGATCCTGTCTTCCTCAGGAGCCTGAGCCAGTGGAGGACTGTGTGCAGAGCACACTCGCTGCCCTGTACCCACCCTTTGAGGCAACAGCCCCCACCCTGCTGGGCCAGGTGTTCCAGGTGGTGGAGAGGACTTACCGCGAAGACGCGCTGAGATACACGTTGGACTTCCTGGTACCAGCCAAGCACCTTTTTTTTTCAGCAGGAAGCCTGTGTGAGTACCTTGCACCCCTCTTCTACCCTCACCCCTAAGATCCACTAGAGACTCACCAGGCTGACTGCTTACCCCCCACCTAGAGATGCAGCCTTCCCTACTGATGCCCACCCCCACCCCTGGTCACATAAGCATCATTCACCGACATCCCACACACTTTGACCCTCAGAAGCACTGACCACTCAGATACTAACACATCTATTGTCCCAAATGTTGACCCTCCCCCACCCCCACCCCCCCAACACACAAGAAACTGACTCCCAAACAATGACCTCGACCCTCCAGACCCAGTTCTGGACACTTCCCACCTTCATATGGATTTCTCAAGATAGTAACTCCCCAGATATGACTCAACAGAGATCTTCCACTTTTAAGATATAAAGACCTCCTAAGAGTCTTGGATTCTTCTAGGACAGCGCATCTGCTGACCTTGTCTTTGTAATGGCCAGTAATTACCCTCCCACACACAGCTTCCTAGAGAAGCTTTTTACCACCAGAAGACTGACCAGGCCCAGTCCCTTCCTCTCTGTCACATGACTAGCCCAAGATGTCCCCTCTTCCCCTGGGATTAGAACCCATCAGTCAAACGACTGGTTCTGCCGGGGGGTGGGGGGGGAACCATTCCAACAGCCCCTCCTGCTGCTTTCTTCAGCAGAGGCTTGAGAGCAGCCTCCCACCTCTCTCTGCAGGCCCAGTACAGTGGATTCCTCTTCTTCCATGAGGGCTGGCCCCTCTGCCTGCACGAGCAGGTGGTGGTGCAGCTAGCGGCCCTGCCCTGGCAGCTGCTGCGCCCCGGAGACTTCTACCTGCAAGTGGTCCCCTCAGCAGCTCAGGCACCCCGTCTGGCACTCAAGTGTCTGGCACCAGGCGGTGGGCGGGTACAGGAGCTGCCTGTGCCCAATGAGGCCTGTGCCTACCTGTTCACACCAGAGTGGTTACAAGGCATCAACAAGGACCGGCCAGCAGGTCGCCTCAGTACCTGCCTACTGTCTGCACCCTCTGGGATTCAGCGTCTGCCCTGGGCTGAGCTCATCTGCCCACGATTTGTGCACAAAGAGGGTCTCATGGTTGGACATCGACCAAGCACACTGCCCCCTGAACTGCCTTCTGAACCAGGGCTTCCCAGCCCTCCACTCCCTGATGAGGCCCTGGGCACCCGGAGTCCTGGGGATGGGCACAACGCCCCTGCTGAAGGACCCGAGGGCGAGTATGTGGAGCTGTTGGAGGTGACGCTGCCCGTGAGGGGGAGTCCCACAGATGCTGAGGGTGCTGCGGGGCTCTCTAGGACCCGGACGGTACCCACTCGCAAAGGTGCTGGAGGGAAAGGCCGGCACCGGAGGCACCGCGCATGGATGCACCAGAAGGGCCTGGGGCATCGGGACCAGGATGGAGCACGCCCACCTGGAGAAGGGAGCAGCACTGGAGCCTCGCCTGGGTCCCCCCCAGGAGCTGAGGCTCTCCCAGAGGCAGCAGTTGTGGAGGTGTCTGAGCTCCCAGCAGAGGCTCTGGGGGAAGCCTCTGAATCTTGCCCCCCGAGGCCAGGGGAGATTGGGGGAGCGGCAGGCCAGGGGGCTGAAGGACCACCTGGTACCCCTCGGAGAACTGGCAAAGGAAACAGGAGAAAGAAGCGAGCTGCAGGTCGAGGGGCTCTTAGCCGAGGAGGGGACAATGTCCCACTGAGCCCTGGGGACAAGGAAGAAACCAGCCACCACGAAGCCCTTGTCAGTCTGCCCTTACCAAATGAGCACGAGCTTCCAGAACGCAGCCTGGTTAAACAGGAACAGGAAGGCTCTGGGAAGCCAGAACCTAAACCAAAAGAGGAGCTCAAACCTGCAGATGAAACAGAGCCCCAGCTCCCCGAAGTCTGTGGACCTCTGGAAGAAGAGGCCCGAGAAAGAGAGCAGGAGGGCCTAAGCCCAGTGTGTATGGCAGGTGAGATGACAGGGCAAGAGCGGGACAGGTCGGGCCTAGGGGAGGGCACTGGAGGAGACACAGGGTTAGGCCAGGAGAAGAGCCAGACTCGTCCTCACTTCAGGCCCGTAGCTCTGCCCATGTCTCTGCAGGACCCACAGGCTCAGAGGGGCTCCTGAACGACCCACCAACACCACCCCTGGAGCTTGTACAGGACGTGAAAGGGGATGGCATCCCTGAAGAGGCCACTCCAGTCTCCATCTCTGATGGCTCTGTTGTAGCTTGGGACTTGATGGCATCTGGATTCCTTATCCTGACTGGTCAGTGGGCATCAGTGGGTGAAAGGAGAAGGGGCGGGGAAGACAAGCAGTTGGGGTAGGCTTGGGAGGGACGGAGCAGGGTGGATGGGAGGTAGGCAAGGACCGCTCCCAGCCAGGACAGCCTGGCCGTTTTGTGTCTTCAGGAGGGGTGGACCAGAGTGGGCGAGCTCTGCTGACCATTAACCCACCGTGCCCTCCTGAGGAGCCCCCACCCTCCCGAGACACGCTGAGCACTGCTCTTCATTACCTCCACTCACTGCTCAGGTAACCGAGGCCCAGTGCTGGCACCCTGGACGTTCACCTCCTGAGTCACGAGAACCCTGGGGCCTTCTCAGGACACTGACCTTCTGACCTCTAGGACACATACTTCTTCAACCCTTAGATTTGCAAGTCCTTGGCCGCTGACCTTGCTGACCTGTGACTTCCAGGATAATAGCTCCACTGCTCCTCAAAATGAACACTGCTGACTTCCCATAGGACCCTACCGAATGATCAGGGCATGGTGTACTCCAACACGCGGTGTACCGAGTAGGCTGTATGCTGCAGGCCGGCCTCGAATTTATCCCATTCCAGCACTCCTAGACTCCGTGTCTTTCCAGACCTTCATGCCTGGGTCCGGAGCCATGTGAATATAGACGCCTGTTTGCTAGGTCACCACCTGTTGAACACACATGCCAGACTTTGGTCCTGTGCCCAGTGCTTCCCAAATATACCAGGAGCTAACTTCTCCTGAGGACTATTAATACTACAGCCAGACCGTGTGCCTCCGCCCTGCCGCGTCTGCCATCACCCTGCATGTGTGCACACACACTGCAGTCTCCTTGGCTTCTCCCCCCACAGGCCCGATCTGCAGAATCTGGGGTTGTCCATCCTGCTGGACTTCCGCAAGGCTCCCCCACTACCTCCAGCTCTCATGCCTGTCCTGAGTCAACTTCAGGTAACTGCCCCCCCGAGATAGGAACTTTTGCTGCATCCTAACTCCCCAAGTGGTCCTTCAGAACCATCCAGTTGCCCACAGTTTAAGGTTATTCTCTGCCCTCAGGATTCGGGAGACCCTCCTCTCATTCAGCGACTGCTGATTCTCACTCATGATGATCCTCCGACTGAACTCTGTGGATTCCAGGTTTGAGCCCCTCACTCCCACTTAATCCACCATCAGTAGTGAGAGAGAAGAGGCGAGCTGGAGCCCCAGGCTGGTCCCTGATTCCCTGGGTGCCTCCTGCCTTCACATGTTTACAGGGTGCTGAGTTGCTGTCAGAGAATGATTTGAAAAGAGTGGCCAAGCCAGAGGAGCTGCAGTGGGACCTGGGAGGTCACAAGGACCTCTCTCCCAGCCATTGGGTAGAGATACACCAGGTAAGCTTCCCCCACCACTCACCACAGCCTAGGACACTGGAAGTGAGGAATAACCCAGCCAAGGACATTCTAGAAGAGAAAGCAGATCCAAAACATGACTACAGAAGAGGGAAAAGTGGTTTCCACTCCATCGAATTCAACAAGTGTTTATGGTTTACACATCACAAACAAAATAGCATGCATTGTGTCCTGGGCTATTGGGGAGACGAGAGACTATGTTAAAGTCTGAATATGACAGTAAGTGGCATATGATTTTTGCTGGGAGATAAGTCATGGAACAACTGGAGAAGCGTCTAAGAGCATCCTTGAAGTTGGAAAGTACTGAGAGTCACAAGGCTGGTTCTTCCTCCCTATGACCTTGAATGCTATTTTTCATGACCTGCAGACGTTGGCCTTTTATACCTGCCCCCCCTATCCCCGCCCCAACATCCAGGCCTCAGGGTCCTCATCGTCAAAGTGCGGCAACCGTGGTAGGGTCTCTAAAGTGCCTCTCAGCACTTACCTTCTATAATTCAACGACTCTACGAATGAGTGAGGAGTCGAGAAGAGAGGAGCAAACCTGATCCGAGTGTGAGAGGGGATCTGGAACATGTAGGGCTTAAGCTGTTGTTACGGGGAAAGTGGGTCTGGATAGGCAGAGGAGGGGTGGACAGGATGAAGACTCAGTGCACAGAGAGGAAGGCGGCTACAGTGTGCCAGGCCCATGCTCGTTACTGAGCTGGCATCATCTCTGCACCTCACAAAAGTCCGTCTTACCCCGGCTTTGCGGTTGAGGGACTGAAGGTTTCTGGAGCTACCCGGCATCATAATAAGTAACAGTCAGCCGCTGAACTCAGCCCTGCCTCCATAGGAGTTGCCGGGGCTGCCCCAGCCCCACCCGAGGGCTTCGATCTCTCATCCTTACCCTGTGTGTGGTTTGCAGGAGGTGGCAAGGCTGTGCCACCTGTGCCGAGGGGTGCTGGGCTCTGTGCAGCAGGCCATTGAGGAGCTGGAGAAAGCGGCAGAGCTAGAAGGAGAGGTATGAAATGAGATGAAAAAAGAGGGCTTGAGGGTGGGGCTGGGGCAGACTCTAGCGGAACCCCAACTGCCCACTGCTCCCTGTCCCCAGGAGGCGATGGGAATGCCTGAGCCACTGCAAAAGGTGCTGGCAGATCCCCGGCTGACAGCACTGCAGAGGGATGGGGGTGCCATCCTGATGAGGCTGCGTTCCACCCACAGCAGCAAGTACGAGGAATGGGTGTGCGGTGGCAGGCGGAAGTGGGAGGTGGGGACACGCCAGAGGATGCCAGCACACTGTAGCTGATGAATCGTTCTTACTTTACCTGGGCAAGAGACCATGCTTTTCACCTATCTGAGAAAGCCCAAACATACCTGTGTGCTAGTTAGAATTACAAGCGTGGATTCAAGGGATCAGAAACTTTCTTTTTTAGAGGTTTTTGCTATGGTGTGCGTACGCTCACCAGAAAGACAGAGAGAGACAGAAAGTGAGAAATCATGCTCAGTGGGGGGGCACATGGCCACGTTGCAATCCCTTCTCCATTCTCTTCTCGGGATCTTGGGCACACACGCACATGCGCCCGGCGTGAGTTTAAGCCACCGGGTCCAGGACTCGAACTGTAGTCGACTACATGGGAGTCCAGCAACATAACCATTATGGTAACTGCTGGTCCCAAGGAATCAGAAACATTAAATGTCGGGAGCCAGCAGGTGGCGTGGTGGTTAAGGCATGGGACTTCCACATGGCTGACTGCGGTTTGAGTCTTGGACCTGGCAGCTTACTTTCTCACTTTCCCTCTCTCTCTCTCCCTGGTCAAATTAAAAAACGATAATAATAATAAATGAAATTAAATAAATAATTCCTTTAAGAAAAAGGAAACAGTAAATATCTTGGCCAAGGTCAGCCCCTAAATGGATGAGCTAGGATTGAAATCCAGGCAGTCTGATCCATGATGCTATGCCACCTCTCATGTTCGTGAGAGCAGAATTGAGGGGCTTGACGAGGGCAGTGGGCTCATTCGCCCTCCTCCTTCCGCAGGCTGGAGGGCTCGGGTCCAGCTACGCTCTATCAGGAGGTGGACGAGGCCATTCACCAGCTCGTGCGCCTCTCCAACCTGCATGTGCAGCAGCAGGAACGGCGACAACGCCTGCACCGGCTCCGGCAGGGGAGTCCCTTCTATTCCAACCGGGGGACTGGCC